CCTCTAGCTCTTTAGTATTTCTAGCTGTTGCAGTGTGCTGCTGACAAACTGTGAAAATCACACGTAACCATGTGACGCAGTACACGGATGACACTTGCAGAAAATGTCTCCATATTTTAAAATAGCCCTAATGAATAGTTTAGAACAAGACAACATATTAAAACTTAGGAGGTCAACATACTATTACAGAATGTATTAATAAACTTATAAGTATTCAGCTTGACTCAACTGAAAAGACATGATGGGAATAAAATATACAAAGTACAACTTGAAAAGTCAATAAAATTTCCTTTAAAATAAGTCACTCTCTAAGTAGGGTAAACTTTATAAAAGGAAGGACGTAATTTAAGCGAACTGTGCGTGTTAGTCAGGGATAAGTATCATAATAGAGCCTCGCTCTTCCTTTGCGTCTCACCGTGTCCGTCCTTCAAAATCACCTCAATAATGAAAATGATCGATTTCAGATCGTCTCGACTGCGGCTACCCTTGTGTAAAGTTGAGCAGTGGACAGATCTATTGCTTCTTCAGAGTTCAGCTTTATTGTTTCTGTTCTTATATTTGTCTGCAGCATGTAGGGCACAGCTGGGGCGAACGGAGAGTCTGCTAGTTGGAGGAATTAGCACATCGCCCACAGTTGTCCATTGGCAAAGATCTCGCATTCGGCTGCGAGACAGGCGGTAGTTGAGCTTAATTGCCATGTCCTGAAACCCCGGGCCGTGAGCAGACAGGGTGACATTTACATGCTTTGAGAGGCACTTTTGATTGTGGTTTTATGAATTACATGATTAGAGGAGATTTTGCCAGCTATTCTAAGACACGCTCGAAGCAGACTGCACTGATTAGCTAGATAGTGCCTCCCAAAAGTCAGGCCTCATGCTAGCTGCGACATTTAGGAGAAGTGATTTACCAGCTTCGCAGTGAATTGTTATGATGAGGTTACAACCTTATGGATTCCTGGAGTGTGTTTGTGATGGAGTAGTGGAGCTCTTCAGCAGAGACAATAAATAAATCATCATGGAGGGAGAAAATTGATTTTTTTCCCTCTCTCTGTCTTTCTCTGACATATTGTGAAATCAAAAAATCGTTGGGAACTTTGAAGAAGAAAGAACCGTAAGTAATCACCATCTCTGACATGAGACAAACTTGATTAACCCTACTTCATAATGCATTTAACTGCACAGAATGGCCAGTCATAGACTATGCAGGCTCTGATACAAATCTATTCATTTTCAGCATCTAAAAAAAAAAGAACAAATGTTCTTGGCCTAATGCAGGGGCTGTGATGAAGTTACAATTGTGGGCCTTACCACCCTCCCGGGAGGCAGTTAAAGTCACTGACCACAGAATTAGTTATACTGAGAAAAAAATACTGCGGTGATACAAACTGAATCCATATTTCTATATATTCGCATTAAGATGATACTTTTGACAAGGCATTTAATAAGCCATAGTATTATCATGAAACATACAGTTATATTATATTATATTGTCAATTTTTTCCACCCTATATATAAATAAAAATCCCCTTTATATTATTTATTATACATTATATAAAATTCTCTCTCTCAATTTCATTCGTATGTATATATATATTGTGAGTGGGGTGGGGCCAAGAACCGTGGGAACAAAGCGAGGCTGGTGGAGTGAATGATAATGAGTGGGGAATCCGGGGTGCCATCGAGCATGGCGGAGCAGTCTGCCGCCATGGACGCTCGAGGCGGTGGGCTGGAGTGAGTTGCCGGGGGGACGGACGAACTCGCTGCCGGCCGCCTGGGCTGTGGAGGGAGCAAAAGAGTGGGGAGGCGCAGGGAGAGGGGGACTCCTGCTTACTACCCCGAACCTGGGTACCCCCTGGCCTGCAAGGGGCGATGTGGGTATGGGAAGAGTGTTGGGGGGGGGGGAGTCACGGGAACGGAGCGAGGAGGCTGGTGGAGTAAATGCTAAATTCGCGACACCTGCGCCACACACTGGTCTCGAGTCCCACGGAGGAGCTTCGGAAGGATAAAAGGAGAAGTAACGACAGTAAAGGACGAGAGAGGACCAGACCTGGACTTTATTTTGTGTTATGTGTGCGGCAATTGTCCGTGAGGGGCTGCCGCTTTACTTTCATTTTGTGTTTGTTTATTTTATTATTAAAGTCTTTAAATGTTCGCCGGTTCCCACCTCCTTCTTCACGTTCTACAAACTGTTACATATATATATGTATATATATATATATTCATTTATTTCAGTAATTCAACTCCTAAAATAATGTTGTTGCTTTTTTTTTTTTAAATAATGTCTAAGTTAATACTTGTTCAAAACAATCACTTTAGCAAAGTTTGTACTATTTTCAGCTTATTTTGAAAAATAAAATAATTTTTGTTTAATAAATATACTGTAATTTAAATATGTTAATATAAAAAATATATATATATTAAAATACAGAAACAAAATCATTTTAATAAGTAAAGATTCTGAAAGCATTGAAGGAGATCCAATAATAATTGAATATATATTTACAGTAGTAACAACAAATTATATGTTATTATATGATATGATTAATATCATGTTTTTAAATATGATGGTTTCATTCTAAACATGGTGATTATCTCTAATATGGACACCCAACTTAATATATGATATTTACCATCTGAATCTAACCATGTCATGTCAACAAATGGAAAAGTCAGCCATCTATTAATTATCATGTTAATTACTGTGCCTTTAGTCCCAACAGCAGGGGCGCTTTTTACCCCAAATACCATACTTTTACATATTCCTTCATTATTTAAAAACTGTTGCTTTAATTATCTTAAACAAAAATTGTTAAGAAGACCTTTGTCTCAAAATATATGCATTAATTTGAGCTATTCTAATTTGCTACTTAAATCTACAACATTTTAAAAAACATAAAATATTAGATCAAGTAAGCACAGAATTAACTTTGCGCTGCTGCGTGCGATCAGAACGAAGGATCAGACAAATATACAGGTGCATCTTGAAAAGCAAATGTTTTGGAAAGTGCTACGCCACGTTTTTGTGCCATCTAGTGATTTAGATGAAAATAATATCAAAGGCACCTTTTACCGCAGGGCGCCTTTAGCCCCGTTGTACCTATAAAATTGCTAACATATAAAACCTTATGGTAAAAATTTTTATATCTGTATTTTGTTATAAATTATATCATATAAATGTTTTTTGGCATAGGCCTCTTACAAAACTCATCTTGTAATTATTTTTAACTACTCAGCTGTGCCACAACAAACTAGACAAGGTCGCTTATTTAAATTGAACTACAGTACATACACAAAACTTTCTGACATGTTTTATTCAACAGCCCTTCAGAAGGAAAACCACAAACACTGTTTCCATTTGCAGGAGATGGAAGGAGAAGCTACTGTAGTAAAACGTATCATGTCTGAGTGTGTGTGTGTGGCAATCCTTAAGGCGTCTCACCCAAACGGTCATTAGGGAGAGTGAAAGCATTAATGGACGTTGAGTCGGTGGGGTGTGATAGCCTGACAGAGTCACACAGCACTGCAATGCCATGTGCTCTTAGCTTTGTTTCCTAATGCCCCTGACACAGACGTTGACGCAAAGAATCAGTGACCTGAAAAAGGCAGAGCGTTCACACGCAATGAGCTCCTGAGCAAAATCCTCCATGCCTTCCCAGCACTCTTTGTGTCAGAAGCCACACAACAGAGGCAAACTGATTAGATGTAGCAGCTATATCCTCTCAACCAACACAAGCAGGCAAAATGCCTGCTCTACAAACAGTTGTGGACAGTAATGTGTTACTGTAATAATATTACTTTCCCCAGTAACTTCCAATCGCAATCTAAAGTAGATTTTGGTCATATAATGATCAAAAATATGTTATTTGTAGAATTTTAGAATAAGCTAATTGCTACACCTGCTTGTATTGTGTATTCTTATAAAAATAACCCAAATCACATACAAATCAAATGCTTTCATAATCATATGTTTATCAGCTTAATGTTTCATGTGTATAAGTTTGTACAGATGCAGAACAAGGACAAAGAAATCACAGGGAAACAACACTGTAAGATGCTAATGCTCATCAGATCGCACAATTCAGTGGAAAATTAATAGAAATTATGATTATGTCTAAATAAATACTAAGTAAACGTGTGTAAATATACCCTAATGGACACAAAGAGGCACACATATGAAGTCAGAATTCTGAGGAGAAAGGACATAATTACCAATTTTGTGGAGTTTTTAACAGAAAAGTAATATAACGAGAAGTGTAATAAATTACTGTTGGCTTGGAGTAATAATAAGTAAGTATAAAGGAGTAACAAGTAATGAGTAATAAATTAAATTTTTTGAGCCCAACACTGATTACCGTAGAAACCAGCAGACTTCTCTGCAGCTTTTGTTGTGATTGATGGTTATGCATATTTCAGCACCGGCAAATAAGTATCTTCCTGAAAGAGATGTAGCGAGAACAAACTGAACACGGTAAAACCCCTCTACAGCTAAAATGTCATGCTCTTCCAATACTGATTCTAGTCCAGCACTATGAATCATTTTAACAACAATTGTTCGTTCACCAGCCAGGAATTGTCTTCCAGATGAAATATTTCATGGGCCCATATGAACGGCGTGCCATATGCATCCTTAATGAATCTATATTTCAGGTTATGATTCTCTCTCAGGAGTTAAAGGAGGTTGGTCCAACATTAACAATAAATCCTCAGCTAGTGGCAATTAGGGAACAGCATCTGACATCCTCCCGCGTAATGCCCACAATCCCAACACACACGCGCGCTACACCTGTTCTTAATTACTGCCGGTCTGCTTTTTAACTTTTATTCATATTGCACTGGAAGCTTGGCACACACTTTCCAAAACTATTTAACATCACTGCTCACCCCACAGAAATGACGCATGGGAAATTTTAATAGCCAAGGTCATAGGGTGAAAGTTTGGCTGATTAGCTTCCATAGTTAGACCCTGTTAGCAGATGACGTATATGTGCATTTGCGTATGGCTCAGGTGATTGGCTCTGGAACATAATAACTAGGAAGCAAAGCAAATAAGGGAGTCACTGATGAATACATAAAAAATTCAATTTCGTGGAAATGCTCTTTTTTGTATATTCATGTTATTTTTTTGTTATTTTGAAAAACTTATACACCACTTTAATAAGTTTAAAGGGGTCATATGATGCTATTTTAAAGATCATTAGTTTGTGTATTTGGTGTAACGGGATATGTTGACATGCTTTAATTGTTCAAAAAACACATTCTTTTTCAAATACTGTACATTATTGTAGGTCCTCTATGCCCCGCCTCTCTCAAACACGTCGTTTTCAACAAAGCCCCCTCCTTTGACAAGCGCAGCCTGCTCTGATTGGCCAGCTGACACAGTGCATTGTGATTGGCCGAACACCACAAGCACGCGTCGGAAATGTAACGCCCCTTACCATAATCGCGAGCTTCAACTTTCAAAGTAAATATCAAGACAGTTAATAATGTCGTTAGTTTTACCATCAGTTCAAGCCCGAAAGGGCAACAGAGTCGCATGACAGACACAGTGATGATGCAGTACACAAGCCGCGGTTAAGACAGCTGACGTGCTATGATTTCTGACAGACAGTTCACTCTCCTGTGATGTGACCCTGTTCCCCTCACACACACATGACGCATTACTCTGTGCTGCGCAAAACTCCGCATTTGAACAGTCATTAGCAAACACTTAAACTGATAACAAAACATACTTACAGTCGCTGATTCAGAAGCGCCAGATTGTCATAGCAAAGTCGGAATTTACCCCTTTTTTATTTTTAGAAATAGCCTTTGTGCACAGCCAGCCTTGTACTCTTCTAGGCTAAAAAAAAAACTTCTAGATTCAAAAAACTGTCATCCACAAATTCGAACATCTGGGTTGTGCTGTTCTGTTGTAAATAAATCTGAACCAATGATTCCTAATTGCATCTACTTCCGGAAGGCCAAATAAAGTGCTTTTGCTTTCGCACTGAATCACACAGCGTCTCCCTGACATGGCTGCATCAACACTACTGCTACCTGAAACCACGCCTTCTTTCTTTGCGTGCACATTTGGGCGGCATTATGCTAATATTTCCACATAGTGATGTAGACATGTGGGGGCGTGTTAGAATGAGTCGTTTTAGGTAGGCGTGGTTGACTCTTCCCTTTTATAAAGAATATCTCTTTGGATTTGAGACTTTAGTCTTTGCAACTTTACAGATCTTCTTTATGCACCAAGCACTTCAAAGAGAAAGGAAAACTTGAAATCGCATCATATGACCCCTTTAAATTGAATGACTCTACGAATGTCATGTGGTGTAACTATAATATAGAAAGTAGTAACATATTTTCCTTACACCTTGAGTACACATGAATGTAGCGTTACTTTTTTATTTTTCATTACTTACATTTTTTAAGAAATACTTTTTGAGGTAAAAACTTTTTTTACACACATATATTAATATAACATTTTTGTGAAGTAGCTCCACATGACGATTTACAACCTAAACTAAAAAGTTAAATTATCTTAAATTTTAAGATACTTGTTGATGTTGATACACAGTAATGAGGATCCTTTTTATGATAGAATTTGCATATTGTATATATATATATATATATATATATATATATATATATATATATATATATATATATATATATAATTTGCATATTGTATACACACACACACACACATATGTATATGAATTTCATTTTTAAAATTCATGAATAAATCCCCAAAAACAAAAAAAAATGGTCACATCAATGAATGTTACATACTATACTGTACTTCCTCCAGCCTGGCAACCACCATCGAGATTAATGTGAAGGCTACTAGTTCTCACCAGATATTTTTGGCCAAAACCAGTCCCACAATGAATCCACAACTAATACTATCATGAAACATTATTAGCCAATGACATTCCAGCAATGCCCCACAATTATCACACAATCGACCCCTCCACACAAGAGACATGATCATTCCTGGCCTCATTTGAGCAGAAGAACAATTATCTGCTACTTACAGTAAAGTGCTAAATTACACCCACTTTAACTGGCAATTAGGTGGAGGGCATTTCATGGATGACTGTTGCATTGGGAGTGTCAAGAAAATACGTCGCCCGCTGTTAAACGGAAGAGCCAGTCACAGATGATATCTCATCAGGGGCTCTTCTTGGCCGTCTAGGTGGCATGATTCACAGCGTGATGCAGGAGGGACCGTCCACGCCCCATAAAACCCTAACTCATAAATGATAACCGCCCAAATTATAGATAAGCATGGACATTTCGAACAGAGATAATACATCAGCGAGTGTGATTGATGGGCTGGAATTTGACCACCGATGAGACGGGGTTAAGAATTACTGTCAGCTAGCTTACTGACCAGAGCCTGAAGCAGTCGTGGTTCTTGATGAATGGCTTGCTGTGATTATACAAAGCATCACAGTGGAGTACCGGCCCAGCAGTACAACTTAAGAGTGAAAGATAGAGTTTGAGGTAAAATTGACCCAAAGGCATGCCCACAGTTCAGTTACAGTCCACGCTCTGATCATATGAAGAAGCACACTGCACACAAAACTACATGTACATTTAGTCATTTTGCAGACGCTTTTATCCAAAGCGACTTACAATTGGGGAATACATAAAGCGATTCTTCTTAAAGAGGCAAACAGACACAGGAAGTGCTTGTAATACCAAGTTTTAAGCATTGTTCAAATAAGTACAAACTAGAAAGGGAATTAATAAATAAAGAGAAAGACAAAGTTTTTTTTTTTTTAATTTAGGATGAAGTTAAATAGCGTCAAAAGAGATGAGATTTCAGCTGTCGCTTCAAAATTGTCAGCTGTCACTTGAAAAAAATTGCAAAGACTTGCTGAAAATCAGCAGTAGCAATCTGATAACACACTGTAAACACACTCTAAAAAATGCTGGGTTAAATACAACCCAGTGCTGGGTAAAATATGGACAAACCCAGCGATTGGGTTGTTTTGACCCAGCAGTTGGGTTACTGCCCAGAAGGTTGGGTTGAACATTTAACCCAACTGTTGGCTGAAAACAACTCAATCGCTGGGTTTGTCCATATTTTACCCAGCATTTTTTAAATAGTTTTAAAAGTTGTGAATAAAAAAACAGCATAGTGCTGATATTATAATTTTGTTGGTAACACTTTACAATAAGGTTCATTAGTTAACTACATTAGTTAACATGAACTAATAATGAACTGCACTTATACAGCGTTTATTAATCTTTGTTAATGTTAATTTCAACATTTACTAACACATTATTAAAATCTTGTTAACATTAGTTAATGCACTGTGAACTAACATGAACATCTGTATTTTTATTAACTAACATTAGCGTAGATTAGTAAATACAGTAACAAATGTATTGCTCATGGTTAGTTCATGTTAGTTAATATATTAACTAATGTTTAACTAATGAAACTTATTGTAAAGTGTTACCATTTAGTTTGAATCATGCATAAAAACTACACTCTTATAAAAAATGCTGGGTTCAGCCTGTTGGGTCATTTTATTGGGTGGTTTTTAATATTTTTACCAAGGTGCTGGGTAGTTTTTCTGTAACTAAGTTGCTGGATAATTTTTAACGCTGGGTTATTTATTCTACCGAACCGCTGGGTTGAGCCTGTCTCCGATGAAACAACGCAGCTGCTGAGTTACAGTCATAGCACGGGCTTTTTACATTCACAGGACGGAGCAGTTCTCAGCGCCGCCGGCGATTTGGTGCACTCTTTCCGGGAAATAAAGGTTTGTATACATTTTATTTCATTTATAAAGTCTTTAATATGGTGTAAATTATATTATTTTACGCAACACAACATAAGGACGAGATATCAGCTGCCTCAGCAGCGGTCGTTTGGCACGATGGAAATGCCTTTTGCCTTGCATAAAATAATGGATTTTATTCGTTATAATACTGAGTTTAATTTAATTTGATTTTAAAATATGTTCTCCAATCTCAGTACTGTTTGTTTATGGACAGGTTTTGGAGTCAGTCACGGCATCTTTCAGCTACGAGTGAAACGCGAGGCCGGCACGAGAATTAGCACTATTTTGTAAAAAAAAAAAAGTGATTACAGAGAACGGTTGAATACACTTAAATAAAAATGCTTTTAAATGTGCCTTTTTATTTCTAAAATGCATGTTAGACGAGTTTAAATGTATAAACTCGTTATATCGATATTGGTTATTTTGCCCAATGGATTACTCCTTGTGTAAGGAACCTGGGTGTCTTATTTGATTCCAGTCTAAAGTTTGATAAACAGATAAACAGTGTGGTTAGGTCATGCTTTTTTCATCTTCGACGTTTGGCTAAAGTTAAAACTCTCCTTTCAACACAGACATTCGAAAAAAACTATTCATGCATTTGTAACATCTAGATTAGATTATTGCAACTCGCTGTACTATGGGATAAATCAGTCCTCCATGGAGCGACTGCAATTGGTTCAAAATGCAGCAGCCAGGCTATTGACTGGCACACGCAAATTTCAGCACATTACTCCCACTCTGACCACATTACAGTGACCACCTGTTAAACTTTTAACATTGGTTTTTAAAGCACTTCATAATCTCGCACCAATTTACCTCACTGAGTTGTTGCAGACACATAAATCAGTGAGACCACTCTGATCCAGATTTTTAGGAACTTTATCAATTCCTAGGTCCAGATTAAAACACTGTGGCGATCGAGCCTTTGTAATTGTTGGTCCTACACTCTGGAACAATCTTCCGGCTGCCATCCGAACAACTTCTTCTCTATCTATTTTTAAAGTTATGCTTAAATCTCATCTCCTTGATCAATTTGTGGCAAGTCAATGAAGTGTTTTTGTATTTATCTACTGGGATCAGTATTATTTTTAATTATTAGTTTATAACTTAGTTTTGCTGTCTTGTTGTTCACTTTGCTATGTAAAGCATTTTTGGGTCAACTCTAAGTTGTGTTTAAATGTGCTATATAAATAAAATAAGAAAGAAAGAAATGTATTTAATATTGTAAACTATGCTGTATTCA